TATGTGGTGCTGAGGAATCGAACCCAGGGCCTCATGCATACAAGGCAAGTGCGCTACCACTGAGCCACCTTCCCAGCCCCTCACAAGGTTTTATGATATAAATTTGTAAAATTTTGAAGTGTCATAGAAAAAGTTTTGGCAAGTTTGTTTTATAAAAAATGTTTGCCAAAGAAGTTTCGTTTTTTGTTCATTTGTTTTACTTTGAAAGGAAAAAATTATGATGATGTTATGATGATGATGAAAAAGTCATTTCATTATTTTAAAAACTAGAATTGAAATTTTTCTGCATTTAGCAGAGATTTGTCTGAATTTGTCAGAGAGCACTGTAGTTGTAGGGAAAATATTTCTCAATAATATTACCATTGCTTGAGAAGAGAAATTAAAGACTACAACAATTAAACTGGTTTACCAGAAAACTCAATTTTGATGAACTTTGAAATTTTATGAAAAATGCTAAAATGTTTAGACTTCTACTGAAGCAAAAGCTCATATTATTTATGAAAGTATCAGTGATTTTTTGTATGAGTGACAGAGCCACAAAATGCAATATATCTGTAATTCTGCTTATGTCATTTTCTATTGTTCAGATAATCAGTATAAAAAAGTTGATTACCATGCTTCCATATAAATGATTTATGCCGTTCTTATTTCCTAATGAAACTTATTTTGTCAAAATAAATTTTGAATATCCCAATAAAAATGATTTATTGAGTTAGGCATTGGTGGTTCACATCTGTAATTCTAGCTATTCAGAAGGCTAAGATCAGAGGATCAAGGTTCAAAGCTAGCCAAGGCAATCAAATCCCACAGACCCTTCTCTCCAATAAACAAACAAAAAGCCTGAGGTGGAGCTGTGCTTCAAGTGGTAGAATATGAGTCATGAATGGAAAACGCCAAGTAAGAGTGTAAGTTCCTAAGTTCAAGCCCCAGTATTAGCACGTGTGCACATGTGTATGCACACACACACACACACACACACACACACACACACACACATGTGCATTGACCAATAAATTTTTCCTTAACATATAATTGATATTGTAGCCTTATTTAACCTCATGATTGCATCAATTTGGATGAAAATATTCCCTGATCATTGTATTTATCCACCAGTTTTAATGTATTTTGTGATGTTTTAGTGCTTGACAGATTTATCCATTTAGCTTTAAATGATGTACCTGTAAAAAGTATTAAGAAGCTAAATCCAGCCTCTCAATGATCTCTGAAGCTTAAGAGGGCAGGAAGTGGTATAAGTCAGTGCCATCTCCTTTTCCTTTGGGAACATGATGTGTAATGGTGAAAACAGTCTCATTCAAATGGCACTGGTGTTGAAAAAGCAAAGTCTGAGGAGAGACTCCGAGCCTTCCAAAATGGTGATGGAATAGAAGGTTTGGAGGGTCTGGAGGATTCCAAATTGACATAGGGCTTTGATTCAGAAAAAAAAAATCCTTTTGATCAAGAAGTTATTTCTAGCTCAGGGCCCCACAAACATCAACAATAATGTATTTTCCAAATCATCTATTACCAACATCAATCTGGTTTTTCCTGAAGTCGGATTAAAGAAAAGTCTGCAAGATCCTGTCCAATCTTGTGAAGCTATATGTATATGGTTCTCACCTCTAGCTCTTGATGGTTTACATTCCAATGTCCACCTTAAGCATTTATCCTCGGTTCATTCTTTGCTTTACTCTTGCCAGATGAAACAAAAATGCAGACTTATGAAGGGTTAACAGTCTTTTTTTTTTAAGCGCTGAAAAGTGGGAAGATTTACACGGTGGGAAATTGAATAAGGATAAAGGATATGACTGAAGAGGGAGTGTGCACATCCAGTTTTAATGGAAAACGATCTTTTGCCAGTTTTATTACCATAGGAGAGCAACTCAGTGGTGGCTGGTTACTAATATTTTACTTTATGAATAGCAACTCCTGAGAACTCCAGTAGTAAACCTTGGTTCATTTCTCTTATGTGCTAATGGTGTTATTATTCCCATGTCAATAGATATGATTTTCTTGCACATCTGTTTCTGAAAGGAAAAAAAAAACAAATCTTATACATCATCTAAAATTATAACTCATAAATTATGGGATTTAAGTTGGCCACATATTGCACAGTCTGTATTAGACCTGTTTTCATTTTAATTATTCTCTTTTATGAATAGATATAATGGTCTATGAATACCTTATTAATGTCAAATATTTCCTTTGTTTTTATAGACTTTGGGAGAGGCCATAATGAAATTAAAGTTTTGGATGGTTTCTGAATCAGTAACTCACACATTTGAATAAAAGCTAATCTTCTAATATTTAATCTTAACTTAGCATAATATTTTATATTAATTTTCTCCAAAAAGTTCTCAGCTATTTAAAGACTATTCTTGCTACTCACAAGTATAGATAAATTTTACAAGGTCATTATCATTTTTATTAAAAATTGTTATTACCAATTTATAACTTCTGCTTTCATTCTTAGAGAGGCATAGATGTATTTTTTTCTTATGTCCAAAAGGTATCTTCTTGAGGAAACATATAGAAAATAAAAGGCCTTTGTTGCTCTGGATAGATAATATTATTTACAGGTAAATATTTGCTACACTAAATATCACAGGCTAAAACAATATTTAACAATGACTTGTGAAACTCAAGTATTCACTTGATGCAGTCTTGGGTAAGATAATAATGACACAGTGATCTAAGGGAATGGAGTATTTAGAATGGAATTATCAAGTTCAATTTAACTGTCAAAGTTGAGAGAGAGGTGGAGTATGCTAGCGAGTGAGCTGTGGCACAGTTCCATGACTTTACTGAGCTTTTCTCACTAGCATCTCATTTTGATCTCATCACTTCATTTTAGTTTAGATATTATCATTTAGATATAAAATTGGCCTTCCTGCCACTATGCACAACATCAGTCCATCAACCATAATCTCTTCAGAAAGAACTTTAAAAAATGTACACCTGATTCTATACCTCTTTGCCTTACAATGGCCTCATGTTATCTACAGGTTGAAGTCCAAGATTCATTGGTGTTGTTCAAGACTGTGTGTTAATTAGCCCTACCACAACAGTCTCTCTGCACTCCAGACTCATACTCTTTCTTTGTTCTGGTTGTACCTAATAATTAATCTTCCCAAATACACTACAGAGATGCTGGTCTCTGTATAACTGCATTTTCTCTTCTAGTGATATACCAGCATCACCACCTCCTTCTACTTCATGTTGACTGACTTCTGCTCATCCTTCAAATACTTGATCTTCCCTAACTTTGTCATTTTCATAAATATGTGCTCTACTTACTCATCTTCAAGGAGCCCATAATCCTTTCATACACAGAATTGTCAGTGCTAACTGATAGAGCTGTCCTAACCAGGCCCAGCATTTCTTGGTGACAAGAACATAACATCGCATTTTGCTTTTGCAAAAGTTTGTATATTTGTTGACAAAATTGCAATTATCTGGATCACATGAAAACTTGAGCTTCTCAGACATTTGGAATAATGATCACAGCAAGTAAAGGCGTGATCAGTGTCAGAAAGTCTTGTTGACAAAAAGAATGGACAGAGAAACTGGGTTTCCTTCCCTAAAGTGGCATTCATTCTTTTTGTGAAGCAATATGCAATCACAAAATGTCAGATTTGGAAGGGTTTTAAGGCAATCCTTGATGTTAATAGGCAGAAATAAAGTCCATGTAAGTTTTACAAGTGTGGTAAGGAGGGAAGGAGGAAGAGTGGAATGCATAGCCCAATCATCTTACTTTTCTTTTCTTTTCTTTTTTTTTTTTTTTTTTTGGTCGGTAATGAGGCTTGAACTCTAGGCCTGGGCACTGCCCTTGAGCTCTTCAGCTCAAGGTAAGCGCTCTACCACTTGAGCCACAGCACCACTTCTGGTTTTCTGGTGGTTAATTGGAGATAAGAATCTCACGACTTACTTCCCTGACTGGACTGGCTTTGAACCTCCATCCTCAGATCTCAACCTCCTGAGTAGCTAGGATTATAGGCATGAGCCACTGGCACACAGCTTCATCTTACTTTTCAATCCAGTGTTTATCTGCCATTTACACTTAAGCTGGATGTTTGTTTGTTTGTTTGTTTGTTTTAAATAAGCAAAACCATTACATGGTATATTCCTGCCCAACTTTTCAGTCTGCAGATAGGTCTAACCTTGTGAGTTATGAAAGAACTTCAGGAGATTCTCCTGCTTTGATGTGAAGCTGGTCAACACTTCATAGACAAATAAAGTAGCTTAGTTGCTTCAATGAAGTTTTTGACTCTGCTCTTTCCTATCCTACTGGCATGCTTTCATGAAGTGACCTCCTATTTTCCTCTCATTCTCCTTCCGTGACTTTAAAAAAAAAAAAGAAAGAAAGAAAGAAAAAGAAAATGAAACATCAGTATGACATGTGGATGGATTCCAACATCAGCCAGTGCATATATTAAAGTTTTAAATCAATTATTGTTCTAGTACACACCCTTTAGCTGAGAAAAGAAAGAACATCCAGGACTAACAAAACTGATTGTTCTGGCAAAGTTGCCATACCATTCATGCTGGCATGGCTCCGTTTTTCTTTTTCCTTTAATATTCCAACTTCATTTAAAAAAAAAACAAAAAGTTAATGGTTCAAGGGCTAATTTCTAACTTTACTACTTTATTCATTCATTCTTTGTAGGAGATGTCTACTTTCAGGTTTTCTTGAGAGCTTCCCAGGGGGCATAGTGCTTGCTTAGTGGTAGAAACAGATGTCAGTCTGCTGGTTAGTACATTACCCTGTGGATTATTCCTCACTTAATGGCTTCTGAGCATGGAAGAGATTCAGGCTTGGGGATATGAGAACTTCACAACTCACCATTCTTAGACCAAAAAAGATTTAATCATAGCAGTTAAGAAACCGAATTACAGCTGTAAAACATGGAGATTTAAGTCCTCCGAGTTGGATCTGTAAGAGTATTCTGATTACTACACCCTAACTTAAATTTCTATAAAGCATGATGGATTTTTTTTTCTAGGCAAGTACTGGAAGTCAGTAAGGATGGTGGCTGTGCCAAGGGGCTGTGCTCTGCCTGGTACTCAGTTGCAAGAGGAGACAGAGACCGTTTCTGCTCTGGCCTCCCTCACGGTGGATGTGGAACAACCCTTTGCTCAGGAAGACAGCAGGTATGAGTCCAGTGTGGGAGAGCTGTGTGGTCACTCACATCCGGGTTCATCATGGGCAGTCCTGGACCTTCCTCCTGGGTTTCCTTCACCTGTCTCCTCCACATCCTCCACCTGTGTTGCCAAAGCCACAAGATGCCATAACACAGGCTTTAGGCTCTGGAGAATTTCAGTTGCTACATTCTTCCAGACTTGGTCCATGTGGTTGCAGTTCACAGAAAAATAGAAGGGAAGAGATAGATGGTGAGAAAAATCACTCCTTGTTGGATAATTTAGTACAGATCATTATGGAACACACTGCTTATGGGCTTAACTTCTTTCCCTGGTTATCCCTATTTTTCCAGATGTTCTGTTTCTTCCTCTCATCATTTTTGAAATCCTTAATATAACAAAGGGAAAAGAGGAGATCAGAGGCTGGATATAATGCCACTAGGTAATAGACAGCAAAAAGGCACAGGCACTCTTATGTGATTCTCCTTGAGATCCAAAACCTAGATGATGGTGGAGGTTTCCTGCCCAGGAGTATGGAAAGAGGTGTGGAGTGGAGTTTTATTTTGTATTGTAAAAAGGAATTGGTCTCAAGCTGTCTTCTTAGGAATTTTCTAGGGGGGAAAGTAAGGTTTATCTGAAATGGGATTGACTTGTTATTTTTTAAAGAAATCTTTGTCAGTTTGTACATCTTCATGTTCATTGATTCATTGTTCCACTCAATAGACAGAGAATTTCTTTAATGTTAATGTGACCAAAGGCACAACAAATGTACCTTAGCATTGGCCGTCTCTATGGCTGACTTCACGGTCATATACCCTTGAGGGAAAAGTGAATCAGGTGAGTTTTTGCTCAGGCTCTGCCAGCTTGCACTCTGAAATTGCTTCTGAGAAGGTAATCGGACTCCCTCCGTCAATAACATCACCATTAATTACACAGATCCTGCTACTAGTGCATAGGTTGGCAAGTTTCCCAAGAATGCACACATTTGAACAGTTCTAGCTTTCTTGCTTTTACTGGATACTCAGAGCTTAATGGATTTAACATCTTGTTTTGGCAAAGAGCAGTAGATAAACTGAATAAGCAATTTCATTTTTATGCAATTATTTTCTCTTAGTATAACCACTTAAAGACCAGATCATTGTTAAGGGAAAAAACTTGCCTATTGCTGACTTCGAAGGCATTTTTCTTATAATGTCTGGAGCATAAGGGAAAACTTATTTTACATCTTTGATAATATGAACTAACCCCCTGCTGTTCCCAGCTAAGACATGAACCAAGTTCATAATCCAAAAGGTGTTGCAATTATTCCCAAGGCCAAAAACAGTTAGTTGTCTGTCATGAGAGGGCCATAAAAGTGAGGAAACTAACATCTGTTAGTATTGGATATAAAAGGAGCATAGCTATTCTTTAGAATTCATTTAATATAGAAAAATAAGGCTGAATTTCACCAAGTGAAATGAATTGTTATTTTGCCCATTAAAATTACATCACTTAGAATAATTAGCAATAACAAATGATGTAATGAGCCCCTGGTATTACAAAAATCTCAGCACTTTGGCAAGACTTGGCTTTGAAGGCATACTTGTTTACCCTCAGGTAAACAGTGCATTCGGCTCCTGGAAATCTATAGGAATTTGACCTCAGCCTTGGTCTGCCGTAATTTTTAAACTTCATCCAATAGCAAAGAGAGAATGGGAAAGCAGAATTCAAAGTTCATTGTTTGTTTCGTGTTCATCTATCAGTTTTAGACAGATATCACTATTATGATTGATTTTCATTGTGAGAAGAAAAATTGTTTTGCTTGAAACATTTTCTATAACTTTGGACTCTTCTTTCCACAAAGGAAAATAGAAATTCTTCTAGAAGTGGCTCTTGCCTTTCAATTGGATGACAAATGAGTCATGAAGGAGAAAGAAAGAGACAGAGACAGAGGAGGAAAGAAAGAAATAGGAAGAGAGAGTGAGTGAAAGAAAGAGACAGAAAGAGAGAGAGAGGGAGACAGAGACAGAGATAAAGAGACACAGATGGATAGGGAGAAAGATAGAGTGAGAGAGAGATAGAGAGAAAGAGAGGCAGACAGACAGGCAGATGAAAGAAAGAATGAGAGAGCATTTACTCTTTCTAAAGGAATGCTATCAGAATTATCCTACTACTTGGTAGGGAAAAATGACTTTCAAAGTAAGATAAAGGGATGGAAATGTCCCTGGGCCTTTATTATGAATGCAATATTATAAGCACACAGGAAATTGAAAAATTAGAAAAAATCAGAGAGCTAAATGGATGGAAAAGAGTAAAGGCAAGATTCTTTTTATAGGAAATACTTGCCAGTTATTTTGGAGGATCTATTGGTGTTTGGAGTGAGATGACTCATTTTGTACTAAGATTTTGGGTAAGGCAGCTCTTTTCCTGGCCAATTCATATCTGACTCACTTACCACTAGTGAATAAGGGATAAAGCGCTCCTGGCTAAGAACCACTGCAAGTATTTTCTGTTCATTTTTCTTGGACAGGGGAGGGGGGGAACACAGTGCAGAGAACCATTTCATTTTATAACTAAATTGGTGGACCTTGAAGACCAAATAATTAGGAAAAGGCACATATGTGAGAATTCACTTGATGATAGTTAGCTGATATAAAGGTTTCAAATATAATTTGCAGGTGACAGGGACTTTAGTGGAAAAGAAATGATTGCTAGCTCAACAAAAATAAAGAAAAAAAGGAAGGAAGGGGGGAAGGAGTAAAGGAAGAAGAAAGGAGAAAAGAAGATAAGACATAATAAAAAAGAAGGAAGGAGGGAAGAAGAAAGAAAGACAAAACCTTGTTGGACCCAAATTAAATACCCAAAGAAAATTAAATGGACATGATCCATTTATTCCAGCTATTGTTTTAGTATGCTTGGTCATCCATACACACAGAACACACACACACACACACACACACACACACACACATGCAACACACAGATATATATATACACACATGTTAATTATTGTTTAGAAGTGAAATTGAAATATTAATTTGCTTATTTGCTAAGAAACTATACCTTTAAAAGATTTGTTCTTTGCATTTCTTAACTCTGTTCCAAAATGCTTCATCATTACTCTACTGAGACTTATTATTGGATACCAGCTCAGGCTTGGCTGAAGATCTAGAAAATTAGAAAATGTCCTCCCTGGCAAGGAGGATTCAGCATGATCAACTATTAAGTTTTTAGAGCCATATCTATATTCTAGAATTTCTAACTATGTCCCTTTTGCAACTCAAAAACAAAACCTGAGAATTTTTTCAGATGCAAGTTTAAGCCATCAATTGTGGTGTAAATCTTATTCAATTTTCTTAATGCAGTCTAGTGTGGTTATTTATTTAATCATCTATATGTCCTTTTTTTGCAAATTTTCTCATAAATGATTTCAGTTCATTATATAATGAAGAAACATGGGAAGTTGATTGTATTTTTAACTTTCTCCCAATGTTAACAAAGACTTAGTTGAATAGGCTGAGATTTGGAAGGTACTAGGAACAGGGCAGGGCTGGGCAAAGCAGGAACAGGAAGGAAGAAGAGAGGAGAGGAAAGGAGAGGAGAGGAGAAAGAAGAAAGGGAGAGGTGAGGAGGGTAGGGGGAAGGAAGGAGAGGGGAGGGGAGGAGAGAGGAAAAAGAGGAGAGAGAAGGGGAAGGGAAGGGAATGGAGGGAAAGAGAGGGAAAGCTTCTCTTTCCTGGCGCCATGGCCATAATTTGATATCTTTTTAGTGCCTAATATGGCCTGGGGGGATATATGAAGCTTGACTTGGTATATCAGGGAATAAATTCATGCCCTGTTCTGTATTCTACAGTTCAATTCTCTGTCCTATATTAAACAGCACTTAATTGGAAAACAGGAAACATGTAGAGCCAAAAGTAAAATCAGATGCATATTATCTTTGCTTCTTATTTCCTCACTTGAGTCTGCTTGCCTATACTTCTCATACTCAATTTTGTGCTAAAAGACCAATAGTTAATCTCTATTTTAATCTAATTTACTTGTTTTAAAGTAAAAAAAAACATTTCTAGGATATAATAAAGCAATACATCTTAGATGACTGACCTAACAGCCCAGAGATATTCTCCATAAACATTGGTTTACAATTATCAATATCACTTTTATTCTTTTCAATTTAATCTGTTTTTCTTTTGACATTGACAAAATTCATTTTTGGAATGTAATGGCTAACTAAAATTCCATAATCCAGTTGGATCATGAAGTTGGCTTGGCAGAGGAAATATATTAAAGGAGAAAGACAGTTGAATGAAAGCCGAAAGGAATTGTACATGGGGTGGATGTGGGGGGAGATTGCAGGATTATTTTCCAATGATGAGGATGAACCTGTGAGGACATCAAGTTCAATCCCTCTTTAAATATCTTTGTATTTCTCCGTGCCAAAGTGCTGAGAGCCAAAATCGCAAAACGGCCTAAACATTCTTCAAAATGTTCGTGTACTGGTGAATTGTAGTAGTTTCCTAGTGCTGCTGTAAAAGCTACTAAGAATTTAATGGTTTAAAATAACAGAAAGGTTCTCTAGGTTGGAAGTGTGACACTGGTCTCACTGGCTAAAAGGTGTTGGCAGACTGTGTTCCTTTCTGGAGGCTCTAGGGAAGAATCTGTTCCCTTGTCTTTTCCAGCCCTAGAGGCTGCTTACATTCCTTGGCTCTTAGCCCCTTTCTCCAACTTCCAAGCCAGCAACTTCCTATCTCACTGACATTTCCTTAGTCATCACATCTCTTCTGAGGGCAGCAAGAAAGGATTGCCACCCTTAAGAGCTTCCATGATTACACTGGATAATTTCACCACTCCAAGGTCCATAAACCTTAATCACTTCTACAAAGTCTTTCTCCCCCGTGGAAGGGAGTGTATCTTCACAATCTTTGAAGATGAGGATTGGCTTTGTTCTTACAACAAGATGAAGCATGAATAATCAGGATAATATATGCAAGTTATTTGAGAAGATTTAGACAACATTCTATATAAAATGAAAGACGACAAAGTAGAACAAGGAATAGAGAACAAATAACAGATCTAGGGGCAACTGAACCAGAGTGGAAGAACATACAGGATTTTATCTAGTAAATGAAAAGATAGGCATCCACGATAAAGACAATGATTTGGGCACACCATCAAATTCTTTTCGTTTTTAACACACACACACACACATACATAATCTGTCATTAACTTAATTTCTAAGTGTTTAAAAAGTATGCAAACATATAAAATAGCTACATAAGGATAAGAACTGAGTAAAAATGTCTTTTGGGCATGGTAGTGCATCCCTATAATCCCAGCATTCAGGAGATGGAGGCAGCAATATTACAAGTTTGAACTAGCCTGATCTATATATTGAGACTTTGTCCCTGGAAGAAAAATAAAAAAGAATAATGTCACCTCTGCTGAGAGCTATGGATAAGTGAAAAGAGATAAAGTATGGCAATGTAGATACAAGTGATGCAATTATTTTGTGATGAATACTTTATAGTTTATAAAGTATATTTTCTTAGACTTACCTATTTTGTTCCCACATCCCTGGAGAGACATTAGGGCTGCCTATTTTTATTTTGAAGAGAGAATTGAGATTCTAAAGACACTAATTTGCTCAAGGTTACATTCTAGAGACTGACAGAGCTGGTATTTAGATATGGATAATCTACCTTGAAATCCAAGTCATTGCTGTGTACCAATCCATCTATGCTGCAAGACACAGGGGAGAATGGGTCAGTAGTGAATATGGAGAAGCAGTAAGTGAATTGTTTCTGAAAAAAATGAGGTTATTAGGAAATGAGTTTAAGGGGAGGACAGAAACAAGATATGTCTCCAAGTGCTACATTCAACTGCAAGCCTCCATGCTTCCACAGAAGAGGTTCAGCTTTTACCAGTGAGTGGGTTGCAATGTAGACATATTTGTTCACCACAGAAGAGCCTAGACCTAGGGGAATGCACAGGTCTTCTCCAGAAAGGAAACAGGTGACCCCCTACAAAAGAGACCTCTGGGCATTTCCCACTCAACACCGACTCTGGAGTCCTTGATATCGAAAAAGATCAACTCACTGTGGCTTTGGTTTAGGAATAATATGCCTAGGTATCCATTAGAACAATGAATGTGATTATTCTACAACTTCTTGTCCATACATTCTCAGATGTAATAAAAAGGTATGCATATTTATTTATAAACTAGCTTTGAAACCTAAGTGTTTTCTTGAATTAAAATTTTTTTCTCTTTAAATGGTTGGGTAGAAAGGATTTTAGTATGACTCACTTTGATAGTTTTTATCTTATGTGCCATGTGTAAACACCACATTTTCTTACGACCTCTGATCCTGAATATTCTTGGACAGGCATAAATGCCCTCAGAAGGGGGCATTTGAAGGGTTTGGAGGTCTTTCTCGTGGTACCCTTTAAAACTTTAATTCTTGGTAATGTTAAATTATAAATATATAATGCTTCTTATTCTTTGTTTTTTAAAATGTTGACGTATTTTGTTGCCACTCTATGGATAATATATTTTCTCCAATGTTTTAAATGAAATGCTATAGAAATACTAAGCTAAATGGCAACTATTTAATTTTTTTCCTTTTTTTCCTTGTAAATCCTTAAAATAGCATGACTAGTGCTTGATAAATATATTGCTTTAAACACTGCACTTTTTTGTAATATGAAAGCGGATCCGTTATTCAATCCTGGCAAGTACATAAACAATATGCAAGAGAAAATGAAAACTACCTATCAATTATTCCATCATCCAGACAGGACTATCCTGCATGCCCTGTGTTTCTTTTAGGGATGCTTACATCCCTGTTTCTCAGGCCATGTGCCAACATTGTATGTGCATGAGAGCTGCAGAAATGAAGTAATTACTAATGCCTTACACTATTTGTTGTTTGTACATCCTCCTTCATATCTTTTTACTGTTCCTTAATTCCATGAAAAACAAGTTTTTCCTCAGGGTGGACACCTGAGACCATAGCTTTACAGAAATGTGATTCTAACAGTAGCAGTTGCAATGGTTGCAGACTGAAGTACTCACACTCAAGCTCAATCCTGGCATCTCTGATCCCAATAATCTAACTTCCTAAGACAATCCAACTACCTCATGTATTTGGATTCCTGCTGCAATTTGTTCTTTTGACTAAATGAAAATCATTCTGAAAGTTTGCCTTAAAACACCCTCAAAGTGTTACTAAATTAAGGTTAACTCTCAAGTATAAATTTTCAAGCAATTAGTTTTGGTTTTAGCTGAGCAGAACTCCCCACAGATGATGCCGAATAAAAACTATTTACACACTGCCATAGTGCGTTTCTTATAAAAATGTTGGGTCTGTAAGCAGCGATTTACTAATCAAATTCAGAATTTGATTTTCAATGCCTCCGGCAGAGGGCCAATCCAGTTATGAAAGAACAGAAGCAAAAACCAGGGCCCTGGTGAGTCTCCTCCAGAAGCTAGCTGGGTTCTTTGCTCTCATTAGCAAACTGGTTCCATAGGAAATCACTGCAATTGCTCTGAAAATAAAAATATCATAGCTAATTTTTTCAATAAATTATTGGACTGCACTAGACACAAAACATGTACGTTTTGGAATCTAGAGTTATAAAATATTCTGACATGTTTTAATATAAACAGGAACGTTTCCAATGATTGCTTGGATCTAGAATGTTTTTCCACTTGACATTTATTTATACTTCCTAGGAAAGAAACTCTATTTATGGATAACTGAATAACACAAATAAACATCAGAGAGAGCTGAAAAATCAGCTTTGATTATGCATGAAAACCTACAATGTCATTGTGTACTCTTATGCCGTATTCTGATTGCCTGTTTATTTTTACAGAGCTGCTTGTGAGCCCATGGAAGAGGAGCCGGCCTCATGAAGTGCCAAATCTCCCCCGATATTTCCTGTGTGTGACATCATGTGTAACCCCACCCCCACCCAGCACCCTCAGACATGTCTTGTCTGCTGCCTGGGTGGCACAGTTCGATGGATCATAAACACTGGGCACAAAATTCTGAACAGCAGCTTCGCTTGTTCTGTGGATGGACTTGAAAGGGCATTAAAGATTCCTGAAACTTAACCACTGTGATTCTAAAGTTACAGTAAACCACGATTGGGAGAAACTGCTTCCAGCATGCTTTTCTTATGCTGGGAGACCCACTCCCTGACACGAAGCATGGAACTAGGAACATCCAACACGGCATTAGATATTGTTAATTTTTCAGAAGCGACCATAGCCAGGGAAACTTGCGGCAGAAGCTGAAACATATTCATTCCTGACATTCTGATCAGTGTTTTATTGGGCAATTTTTTTGTCTAGCAGTCATAAATTGTTTACAGGATTTGCTCTCAGCTATGAATGGGTCACAATTCCAGACAGATTACAGTGGGTTTAGGTTTTTTTTCTTTTTTTGTTTTGTTTTGTTATTTTGCATTTGTTTTTACCACACAGTTCAACTAGGAAGAAGTCAAGATGGAGGACCTAGGGTAGGGCTTTCTACAGTAAAATAATGCAAACTGTATCTCAAAGCCAGATACCAAAGGAAACTCACATACTCATATGTTATGGTGCAATATTTTTGTCACTTTTTTGAAAAAGAAATATCCTGCTTCTGTACCACCTATTTCTTATTTTCACATGCAGTTGTATAGGCCAATGTGGGTGCCCCGGCTCTATTCCTTGGTGACAGAACCTCTAAGTATATGTCTTATGTCTATGTCTTTAAGAAGCACGTAAGTTTTTAAACATGGTCTGAATTTTTTCCAAATCAATCAAAAATGCATTATCTTACCTTTTCATTTGTGCCCACACCCCCAACTGTGGCTTTTTTAAAAACAAACACTTTCATCCTTCCTTTCTTTAGAAAAACTGAAAATCACTCATAATCTCCCTTATTACACAAGGGCTTTGAGTATTTCTCTCGTTTACTTTCCAGGTTAACACTGTTGCTTTGTCAGCATGTGTTGTTTTAGTGATTAAACCACTGAGGCGAACATAGCTTAAGCATTGTCACTGAATTTTCATGATCACTGAAATATGTTAATGAAGGTACTGTGTACCTGAAGTCACTCTGGACTGAGTGAACCTAGAAGCTGTGCCTTCCTGTGAAAATAAACACAAAATTTAACCTTTCCACACTTTACCTTAGTGGCAGAGGTCAAAGATAAAGGACATATATTTCTGAGATTAAAAGCAGTTTACTAATGATTACAGAAGCAGGTTTTTCCTGCTACTTCTGAAAATTCTATTTCAATGTATACTCCAACACCTAAAGACAGGGAGGTTATAATACCTTACATACTCGATATCTGGATGATCCTTTTGAAATAGATGATGTTTCTTTTAACATCTTTGACTAACTCAAAGGATATATTAAAGCCATAAGTGAAGATTGTCATGCTTTTATTCAGAAATCTGAAAGAAACCTTAATTAAAACAAGGTTTTAGGAAAGGCCATGATAGGAAAGATATGGAGCAATATGGTTCTAGTTAGGGCAGACTCTAACCTGTAAATCAAAGATGAAAGATTTCACTCAAGTAGAATTATACAACTCCCTTTTGTTATACAGTCAGACCATATTTTTCATGCATTTGGTTTTTTTTAGGATTACCATTTTAATTTTAAAGACTTTTATTACATATACAAAAATGGCTCAATATTTAGTTTAACATCTTAGAAATTTGAGACACTCTTTGAAACAGAAAATCTGAAATGGAATATAGTTCAGTATTAGGTAAAAAATTATCTTCATTGCATAAGGGTTAAGTTAATCTAGACTCATAATAGTAATGATTATTTTTCCTAAATTTCATTTTCTTGACATTTTCAGAAAAATACATGAGTCGTATTTTCAAGCTCTTGTTACTTTGTTAATGGCTTGAGGAAATTTACTTAAGGAAAATCAGATAGCAGAGCTGAAGGCTTAAAAAACGGAAGACCCTCTACCTTTAGTTTATTAAGAAACATAATTGGCAAATTTTAAAACTAACTTCATAATTATAAATCCCTAAGACTACTCTTCCTCCCTGAATATTTTTTAAATCATAGCAATGAAAATTTAATGAGCTACTAATATACTGAGGTTCCTGCCATGATTTATGCCAAGCCATCTATCTGATAAAGCCCTATCTCTGGGACATCTCCATGGGCACTTGGATTTAAAGCTTGACACATTAAGGAGTTATTCACACATCCTTCCATTTGACATCATACACACTAGTCACGGGGGTATCAAGAGAGGCAGAAAGCTGTGGAGAAGATTAATGGCAGCAGAATGTAATTGTAAGGACAGAATGCAGTACTGTTTGATTAGACCATTACATCAGAGTACATCTCTGAGCAAGAGAATGGAAACATTTTTTGAGACTCTCAACACTTCTTTTAAAATAGACTAGCACTTTCTGGAGGGGCAGTTTCATTTGTATAGTTTTTTTCTATACTCACATTTACACTTCTAAACTCATATTTACACTTTATTGCATGTACCAAATGGGTCCCAGTAAGAGGCTAGTGGGGGAAAAAATGGTCCCCTAAGGAAAATCACATGAACTCTCTTCCTATCTGAAGATTAACTCATCTATGGTGAATAAAAATGATATTTTTGAGAAAGCTACTAGTAAATAATATTAGTAGTGATTTCATAATAGATACAAAACCAAAACTTAGTAAGTCAATTTTCTTACACAGTATAATTTGAGTTATATTTTGAGCTTGGAAAAAAACTAGACATTTCTACTTAATACTGAGCAAAATGGACCCATTGTCATTGCTTAATTAGAAGAATACTCAGATTAAATATTTTCATATATTTTAATACATGTATATTATCTGTAGTAGAGATAGAAATCCTCTTTTGGAAAAAATGGATTTAAACATTTATTGAAAAACATCACATAGAAGGTGCTTTTCCATTCCTAGGAAGAACAATCTTGCCCTTAGTGCTGACTATAGCCACATGCCCATCTCTTACTCCCCTTACTGAAAAAACATGGTGGCCTTGAAAATGGGTCATCTCCCACAAAGATTTCAGAAATTATGGCCTGGGTCTCTCCTAATAGTTCAGGCCTGTTTTATTTCTAGAGGTCAATTGCAAAGCCTGTGGATTTACTGGGTGTCTTTACAGACTCCATATGGAAGTAAAATAGAATGATCATATTGAAAGTCTCCTGGGAGAAATTTCTTCTTAGATCAGCACTTTTAAACTTCTAGTTTTTTTTAAGCCTAGCATTTATATTTAGGACAATTTATTTAAACATTTTTTCCTATTCTTCCTGTTAAAATTACTCTCATTTTGTCTCAGTGGTGACAAATCTAATAGCCCCAGAAGAAACAAGGCAAATTTTCTGCCTTAAAAGTGATTCATTCTTAGTTTGAAATAACCATTGTGTCAGAATTTGATACTGCCATTTCTAGCAGTATCTATCTTAGCATTCTTTTCCTGCTTCAGGAATGAAATCACTTTCATGCTGAGAAAATGAGAGAGAGAAAAACAGAGAGAGACAGAGAAAGAGAGAAAGAGAAAAGAACACCTGTTGTTCGGCTATCTCCAAAAAGAGAGTATTTTCGCCTTCACAAGAAATGAAAAACAGATGATCTATGCTAAGAAGTGAAGGCATTTTATTGTCTGATCATCAACATGACCATGATCACCACCAAATTGCTTGTGTTCCCCTAGGACACAATTATATTCTGGTTTCTAGCAGTGTTATGGACTATTTATGGTCTTTTAATAGAAGTATTCTGAAGTATCTCATCACCTTCATCAACACTATCACTGGAATATGAAAGTGCTTATCTGTGGCTTCTTTCTCTGAGTATATTTACATTGAAAATCATGGCTCTTAACTCCTAACTCTTATGAGCTTGCTTTGCATCATTAAATCCTTCATAAGGAGTGCATGATTGTCATGTGACCAGAGGATAAAAACATCCCATGAGCATGGAACACACACAGGACTACAGAACGTGATTCCTCCCATTTAACTACAGTTTGTTTTTAATCTATGATATTTCTTATATGTTTTGTGTAATATATTAAACAAAGGCTGAATCCGTTGTTAATATTCCAGATATAGCTAGATCATACAGCCCTCGACTATTGATCTAGAGCTGCTTGGACTTGTTCTCAACGATAAGGCAATGAGTTGTAACAATTTCTTAAAATTCCTTAGTTCTCAATTGGAACACTAAGCAATTCACTGTACTGTGCCAATGTTTCTAATTGATCGTTTTCTTTCCAATCTTTCTGCTTCTCCTGTTTTCCAGTACCAAATTGCCATATCTATACATTTAATGGTATCTCAAATCTCTACTTTTATGTTTTCTAGGCAGAAACAAACTTCACAATTTCTTTTTTGAGATTGACATTGAGCTTACTTTTTGCAAGTTAGTTTACAGAACTCTGAATAGGTTATCCTTATACTTCATTTAATCTCTCCTATGTCAAGTACCACTCAACTATGTTTTGATCATTTTTATCTTAAAAACACCCAAAGTTCTTGTGTTTGGGTCTATAATTGAAGCTTGGCACTTGCTTGTATTAATATAAAATGTTTTTGTTTCAAATATAGTTTTAAAATCTCTTCAATTGTGTAGTGCTAGTATTGGGGTAGAGACAGTTGTACACATACTTTTCTTCTGTATGCTTTGCAAGATGTGATTGTGAGTTGAACCTACAATCATAAACACTCACTTGAAGCAAAAAAATGACTAAGGGGAATTTTTAAATCAATATATTTTGGAAATAAAAAATGTTTCCAGACATTTCAATTAAAGAGTCTCATTCTATTTACTTGTTTAGGCATTAAGCACATTAAGAACAAGCAACAACATCAGTATAATAAGAATGGTTAATCAAATATTTCCTGGGACATTGTAGTCATGTCTTTTATCCTTTGTTATAGTTGACCTTTCTTGGAGTTGTAATTTTGTTACAATTAATAGAGTGATTGCAGCAATATCTGGCTATTGTCTTTATATCTATAAAGTTGAATGCAAATGAAGTAACAACAAATAGTTAAAATTCTATACATCTGAGTAAGGACGATTCTACTTTCTTATGTACACAAATTTTTGGCTT